ATCACGAGTACGTGAGCCGCCAGCGGCGACTGGTAGATGGCACCGCCATCGCGAGTGCGTGAGTCCCTGTCAGAAATTTGTTGCGCCGCCCTTGGGCGCAAAAAACGGTGAAAGCTCACGTATAGAACCAGAGGGCAGCACACGACGCGATCGCGCGACCCTGCCCGTGAGCAATCTCCCAACTCATCTCTGGCGCCGCCCTTGGAGGCAAAAAACAGTGAAAGCTACCGTATGAAACCGGAGGGCAGCACAGTATGAGATCGCCCGACTCTGCCTGTAAGCAATCTCCCAACTCATCTCTGCCGGTAAAACAGGAGTAAAGCAGCGTTTATATGCACGTTTAAATCCTACTCTGTGTATTCGCCCTTAAGATAATTTAAAAATAAAAGTCTCTTTAGAATGCGCCATTTCTTCTCGAGAGTGGATGACAAAACGTTAAATTAGATTACGAACGTCATAAAAATATAATTTTTTAAAGTTAAAATGTCAAGAAACAAGGAAAAGAAGGACGCAGGCTCCGCTTTCCGAAAAATAGATGTAGATCAATATAACGAAAACAATTTTAAAGAGGAGGAACCAGATGCTGGTCCAACTGGGCCCGATGAACATGAAATTCAGACATTACTTAATCAATATCCTTTTGTGCATACTATTTAACAACAATTTCTGTTAGTTTCACTAGTGTAATACTTTCGTTATAAGTATATTCCTTAACACAGCTTTACAGGGAAAAATGCAGAAGCGTTGGCATATGTATTGGCTACGGCTCCTCTTGGTTGTAAGAATCAACTGGTTAAGGTAACTTTAAAATTCTAAAGGTTTTTAATTTAAATACTGTTTCTTTATATATTACTTGTTTTATTACATTTGCAATTTTATTGTGATATAATAACATGTACTTAATTAATATCATACTTTCCTTGACATAATTTATGAGAATCGTTATTTAATTTTTTCTTCGTTTCAGGACAGTGCCAGAAACCTGACGCAAAAAGTACTTTTAAGCATCAAATCAAATCAGATGGATGAATGTTTAGTGCAACTAGATCGAGATTTAATAGATGTTCTCATGAAATATATTTACCGTGGCTTTGAAATTCCAATAGAAGGCAGTAGCGCACATTTACTGATTTGGCATGAAAAGGTTTATAATATCGCTGGACTGGGCAGTATCGTTCGAGTGCTCTCCGATAGTAAACGAGCTTAATCTGAAAGGATAACATATTGTGATAATGAACTTTTACCAACTTTGTACCATTTTCAGAATTAGTGACGTACAAATGAAAAAATGTTAGTAGACAGGTCAAATAATACGAAAAAGAAACATAAATATGTTGCTATAAAAAAAGTGATTAACATTATTTTTATTTCTTCTGATTATAATTAAATATGTTGGGATTACTTTACATTTCGTATACAGTCTATTGAAAAACATTGCAAGTTGCCGCTATATTAAGATGATCGATAACATACTTAGATTGTTTTAAATGCTATCATTTTAACAAGTAATCAATGATCACACATTGAGAATTTTCTTCTATTAAAAGAGGAAACAACAGCTGTATTTAAATTTCCCGTTCCTTTCATTTTGTACAGTTCACTACTTACAGTAATTTTTTATCATTCTTTCTAATAAGACTTATACAATGTATACAATAATAAAGATAATATGATTTCAGTATAACATTGAATTTGCATATGAATTCTCCAGATGTTCGTGGAAGTTTCCAATATAAAATATGGAAGCAGTTCGTTCCGCATGGGCGATCCTGTTAGGACTTATTACCATTAAAAATATTCTTGATAATCAATACCAATGTAGCACTTGTTATTTATATTTATTTTTGTAATTCTTAGCTATTCACATTTATCTTTTACGGTGACCATGATCATGTTTGTTTGATGAATCAAATATAAAGCACTTACAAATACCGCATTTGCTCTGAAACAAATATACAGGAAAGATTAGAAAGTATTAATATTACCTTCTCATAGCAGTGATGAAATTAATTAATTCATTGGGAATATTGAATTCAAATATAAACACTTATGAAAGAATAGTTTACTAACTGCCCTTCTTTGAAGTACTCCTTTAGAGTATTACTAAATCGTTTGCTATATTTGACAAATTCCCTTTTGCGCTGATCTAATGCTTGTTTCCCTGCAGAACCTGGGATAAATCCTGTAACTTCGTTTACAGCATCTAAGAGTTTTTTAATAGCACTTGCAATTTCCCTGAAACAATTGCATAAAACAATTTTGAAATAATTATTTACAAAAGCCTCAGTTCTATGTAAATCATCTAAACATTAACTATACTTACTTTATAGTCTCTAAGAATGTTTTACGATCCGTTATTTCATCTGGAATTCTACTTAATATTCTCTTTAGTGAAGCAGACTTTCGATTAAGTTCCTGAAATGCATCTTCGGATCGAGCAGAACGATATTCTACGACTAAAAGTTACCAAGTAATATTAAAGAGATAATATATCTTTGCTCCGGTTAAAGACGCAAGTATGTAATTAAAAATGAGAACATACCGTCGCTATCGAATGCATTACCCTGTAAGCGCAATACACTTTCGTTCATATCAAGATTGAGATCTGCTCTTCGCACAATCCCTAATACGAGATCATGGGTAATTCCAGGATAAGTGCTTTCAGCCTTTGATAGGGCTGAGCGCAAAGTTTGTGCAGCTACAACATTTTGTCTTTCCAACTGTATTAAACAATTTGTTATTCATTATTTATTATACGTCATAAAATGAAATTAGCAAAGCAAAGTGAAATATTTTTCGCAGAATACAAAAAATAAATTTCTTGTTAATAATAGAAATGGGATCACAATAGCTTAATAAATTATTCCAGTGAAGGAACTGATTACGGTGAATGAATAAAATGTTAATATACCTTCGCTAATATCGGACGTAATATTACTGGAAGGACGAGTGATGTAACTGGAGTCTCATCGCCCATTGTCATCCTTCACAAGTTTTGGAAATTTCGGGTCAGTTCAGAGCGAATAATCTACTTGCGTTTAGTTTGAAGTCACAGTCATTCGTGAACAAACAAGGGGAACATCAATTTTTCATTACGATAAAGCCCTGAACTTAACACCATACTACCCCTACCTGACAGCTGTCAACAAACTTTCCTCAAAAGAGGTTAACCCGAATAATACGTAATTGAGATTAGGAAGCCGCTTTCCTACAGTAAAACGGCGACTTTAGGCTAGCTTTATATGAATCACCTATGTAAACTTAAAGCTAACTTTACATACAAGCGTAATGATAGCTTACATACGGTGGAAACTTTAGACCATAGATACCTAGACCTCGCATAGTAATGGAAGGGGAAATCTCGAATACCACATGAACCACGTGGGCCGATGGTATTTGAACCCAATCAGATTTTAGACCATATATTTATCAGAGATGAGCAGGTTCATCTCTGTATTTATGTAGACTGCCTTGTAGTGGAAGGGGTAAACTCTAATACCACACGGACTACGTGTCCGACGACTCACCCACAGTTAAAGCAATGGTTAAAGCCATTCTGCTTACTGAAAATTTGGGAGTGGGAGGTCCGATGCAAGGTTTAAATATATATGGTCTAAAGTGAAAACGCTTAAGGTGAAATGAAACCCCCTTCGAATCAGCCAATTCAAATACAACACTTTTTTTTAAGGATATTAGACCAAACTGTCCGAAACTTTTACACATCACTTTTGATCATCTAAGAATTGTCCTGACACAATCAAAATTCGGATTTTTCAAAAATATTTTTTATCTTAGCCCAGATTAGAACCAAAATGGCGTCGAGCTCTCATATTTCGATCAATATACAATTATCGAAGGCTCTGATATGAGAAACGAAAGGGTCAGGACAATTTTACGACAATTTAGAACACTCTTGTAATCGATAAACTCGTATTTGAACGAGATAAAAGTAAACAAAATGTTGTATGTGCTTCTATGAAAAAACGATGGGAATACGAAGTCTTGACGTGAAAATTTAATTGACCTAGAAATCACAGATGGCACAGGGGGTCCCTCTGCAGTCAACTAGGGCCCCAGAAAGCACGAATCCAGAGGATTTCTAGAGTTTTACTTCGATTTCTTGATATTTATTGTACGAAAACGACAGGTGGAGTATACCATTTGGTACAATATCCAATATAATTCGACACATCTGTCAATATAAAAACGAACGTCGGCAACGTAGGCATTTAGAAAAATCTTCTTTATCGACGTCGATCAAGTTGCTCGACGTGTTTCACTTCACCTTAAGGTCTGATTTAGATTAAGAACGACGGCGATGAACAAGCGACAACCAATTATTATGTCTGCATCATACTCGAAATCCAGAATTTATTGGGACCAAATCTAGTAAATCTGAATTTAAGTGCCAATTGAGACACTCAGAATCGAATCTGCATACTTATTAATGCGATGGAGACATGCGAATTACTGGATTCGGACTTGATAAATTCCGGATTTAGTAGTTTTATTTATTTTAGAAGTGCGATAGAAACGTGATCAATAATAGAACCGATTCGAACTAAAGCACGCTATTTCTTTGGATCTTGCCACTGCATCCCACTTTACAAGTGGTTAATTATAAGTATAGTATATATGTGACTTAGAAACACAACGATGTACAATTCTACGAACCGACCATAGTGCCGCCATCTTTGTGGCGTGTCCAATATCATATAGTGCATTACAATTCTCGAGAATTTAAATTTCAGGACGTTCGTTATCATTACGTATTTTTGATGAGCGCGCTCACTTCTCATACTTCCATCTCATGTGGATTTATTCGCCGAATTACGTATTAGATATATGAAAGAACGAGATCATTAGCGCTTCCGGTGTAGTAATATTGCAAATAAAGGTACATACCTTGTAAATCGAACATCGTTGAGAAGTGTGGGTATATCCAGAAAAGGCGGGAAGATAGATGGCTGTTAAAAGTAAAGAAAAGGACTCGAGTCTATTCATATTTTTTAACTATGTATTACATTCATATTTACATTTACTATAATTAGAAGTTCAACAATATAATTTTCTTATCATGTCATGTAAGCATGAATTATTTAACAGTTTTCAATGTTTAATAATGTAATATAACCTCGCAATAATAAACACTAACCTGTACATACAAATGAAATCTCTTTCTTCTCACGAAAATGGGTCTGAGGCATCACGTAATTCCTTTCTTCTTCTAATAAGGTTATTATTACATCCCCGAATTCGATTGTTACCAAAAAACAAAACACCCAGGAAGTTTTCCATTTTGAATTTTGGTGTCTCAATCCGTGGAAGATGGCGTTCATAGCGATCATTTTTCTATCTTTTATTGTATGTACGCTTCACCATTTCGCTTAAAAATTTGTACTGAGCCAGTCAGAGATAAGTTGGGAGATTGCTTACGGGCAGGATCGTGCGATCGCTTCCTGTGCTGCCCTCTGGTTTCGTACGTTAGCTTTCACCGTTTTTTGCCCCCAAAGGCGGCGCAACGAATTTCTACTAGGAGCTCGCACACTTGTGATGGCGGTACCATCTACCAGTCGCCGGTGGCGGCGCACGTACTCGTGATGGTAATACCATGCGGCAGTTGACGGTGGTGGCTTACCTACGCTTACCGACACTGCTCGCTTTTGATGGTAAGGGGAGAACACTCGTGACGCTCCATTTGAATTTATCTACTTATCTACTACTATTAAGTACATTGTTGCAACGAAGTCGACGTGATACGGAGCTTTGGGGCACGCGTCGGTGTCGCGTACGGAACTCTCATGCCGCGAATCTGTGTGAGTGCGATCGCTCCTAGAAATCTACGCACGTCCAACCAGCCAAGCGCCAAGATACGGGTCGAGACGTTGAGCATGTGTGCATTCGGCGCTACACTCGATAAGTATGCGTGAGACTCGAAACTGCGAAAAATCCTCCCGAGGCTTACCTAACAGCGCATATAAGCCGAGTCATTTCGCGTATGATTTTTACATTTCCCTATTCAGGAGAGTTGCCGCAGAGTACCGGAGAGTACCGGAGAATGCCGGAGAGGGCCGGAGAGTTGCCGGAGAGCGCCGGAGAGATGCCGCAGAGTGCCGGAGAGTGCCGGAGAGTGCCGGAGAGTGCCGGAGAGTGCCGGAGAGTGACGAAGAGTTGCCATAGAGTGCCGGAGAGTTGCCTTAGAGTGTCGCAGATTGCTGGAGAGTGCTGGAGAGAGCCGGAGAGTGCCGGAGAGTGCCGGAGAGTTGCCGGAGAGTGTCGGAGAGTGCCGCAGAGTGCCGCAGAGTGCCGGAGAGTGCTGGAGAGTTGCCGGAGAGTGCCGTAGAGTGGCCGCAGAGTGCCGGAGAGTTGCCGCAGGGTGCCGGAGTGTGCCGGAGAGCGCCGGGGAGTTGCCGCAGGGTGCCGGAGAGTTGCCGCAGGGTGCCGGAGAGCGCCGCAGAGTGCCGAAGAGTTGCCGCAGAGTGCCGCAGAGTGTCGGAGAGTGCCGGAGAGTGCGGAAGAGTTGCCGCAGAGTGCCGGAGAGTGCCGGAGAGTGCGGAGGAGTTGCCGCTGAGTGCCGGAGAGTGCCGGAGAGTTGCCGCAGAGTGTCGCAGGGAGCCGTAAATTGCCGTTGAGTGCTCTAGCGTGCCCTAACGTGCCCTAACGTGTCCTAGGGTGCCCTGCAGTGCCGCAGAGTGCCGTAGGGCGCCGTAGTGTGCCGCAGAATGCCGTAGAGCGCCGTAGAGTGCCGTAGAGAGCATTATGTTGTATTGGAGAGCATTAGACTGCATTTGATCACTCTAATTACGATGCTGCAACTCCCCCCTAATGCACTCTAATGCAACATAATGCTCTCTACGGCATTCTACGGCCCCCTGCGGCATTCTACGGCACCCTACGGCACTCTAAGGCACTCTAGGGCACTCTAGGGCACGCTAGGGCACGCTAGGGCACTTCATGGCACTCTCCGGCACTCCCGGCACTCTCCGGCACTCTCCGGCACTCTGCGGCAACTCTCCGGCACTCTCCGACACTTTACTGCACTTTACTGCACTTAACAACGCTCAACGGCACTGTGCGGCCTTCGATAAGGCTCGAAAACCCTTGAAAAACACGCGAAAACGATCGATAACGCTCGACAACGCTCGAAAATGCTCTGAAAATGAGAGAGAAACGCTCAAAAAACGATCGATAACGCTCGAAAGCGCTTGACAAACGCTCGATAACGCTCCAAAACACTCTAAAAACACTCTAAAAACGCTCGAAAACACTCTAAAAACACTCGACAACGGTTGAATAACGCTCGGTAACGCTCAAAAACGGTATAAAAACGCTCGAAAACGCTCGATACCGCTCTGAAAAATATCGAGAAACGCTCGAAAACGCTCGAAAACGCCTGAAAAAGCTCTGAAAACGCGTGAAAACGCTCGATGACGCTCGAAAACGCTCTGAAAATGACCGAGAAACGCTCGAAAAACGATCGATATCGCTCAAAAACGCTTGATAAACGCTCGATAACGCTCCAAAACATTCTAAAAACGCTCGTAAACACTCTAAAAACACTCGACAACGGTTGAATAACGCTCGCTAACGCTCAAAAGTAGTCTAAAAATGCTCGAAAACTCTCGAAACCGCTCTGAAAATGATTGAGAAACGCTCGAAAACTTTCAAAAACGGTCAAAAAACGCTAGATAACGCTAGATAACGCTCGAAAACATTCGAAAACGTTCAAAAACGCTCTAGAAATGCTTGAAAACGCTCGATGACGCTAGTAGGGAAATGTAAGAATCATACGCGAAATGACTCGGCTTATATGCGCTGTTAGGTAAGCCTCGGGAGGATTTTTCGCAGTTTTCGAGTCTCACGCATACTTATCGAGTGTAGCGCCGAATGCACACATGCTCAACGTCTCGACCCGTATCTTGGCGCTTGGCTGGTTGGACG